TTCTTTTACTTCTCTGCATTCCAGTGCAATATTCAGAGTGCTAATGCTATATGGAAAAAGAGATGAACAGAAGATTTCAAAGAGCAGCTTGAGAAGATAAAGTATGATAATAAGATGTACAGAGAGCTAGAGCTAAAAAACCAAAATGAAACAACACCAGCATTTCTAAAGCTGAAAGAACTGAAGAACAAATGCAAGTCTTGAGTGGCAGTACTGATAGATTCTATGTATGGACAAAATCTTGAGTGATGCAGAAAGCATTAAAGAAAGAAGACGGAAGGAATATACAGAGTAGTGTTTTTCTTAAAAAAAGGTCAATACTCAACCATTTCTGGAAGTAGCATATGATTATGAATCAATAATGCTGAAGGAAGAGGTCTAAGGTACACTGAAGACACAGGCAAACAATAAGGCCCCAGGAATGATAGTATATCAATAGAAATGTTTTAACAAAGAGTTTAAGTCCTGGATGTGTTTACTAGCCTAAACCAAGAAATTTAGAAGACAACCACCTGGAAAACTTACAGGAAGAAATACATATTTGTTACCATTAAAAACAAATTCAACAGATTTCAGAAATTATAGAACAATATCAATAATATCTCATCCAACTAAAATCTTAATGAAGATTATTAAAAATGGCTGGAATGATCCAGAATTCAAGTGGGATTTAGAAAAGGCCATTTTCTCCAATGCTTTTTGCTGTTTCTGAAATTCACTGGAAGGTCAGATGTGGATTTTGACTCAACGGTACTTGACTGACTGCCATGGTACAAAGCATATCATTGTTGATGCTAGATGGGTCTTTGTGTCATGTACTTTGGATGTGTTGTCAGGATAGGCAAGTCCTTGAAAAAAGTAACTGTGCTGAGAAAGTGGAGAATTAGAGAAAGAGAGGAAGACACTCAAGGTGAATTGCACAGTGACTATAATAATGAGTCTCATGGTATCAGAGATCATGAAAATGGCACAGAGTAGGGCAAGTTTCCATTCTGTTTGTTGTTGATAGGTTGGCTATGTGTAGTTGATTTCATAGTGCATGACAACAACACTAACACTATTGACTCAATGAATATATATTAGCATAAATTTATGGAGTAGTACTAGCTATAGGTTCTTGCTCTAAAGATCCTCAAGAAGGAGAGACAATACAGAGAATAATTACTAAAACTTGTATAACTTGAGAAGTCTTTCTCAAGATAAATAGGTTTTCAGGGGAATGCAAATAGTTAATACTCTGGCTGTTATTTGAAAACTCAGAGGTTTCAGTCAACATGAACACCTCAGATGAAAGACCTAGTGATTTCTTTGTAAAAAAAAAATAAATCTGTGATTGAAAACTTTATGGGGCGGCCATGGTTTTGCTCTGATACACATGATGGGGTTGCCATGAGTTGAAAGAGGTTTTAACTGTCTATATA